CGTCCAAAGGGGCGTTTTTTTTAACATTTTGTGTGTTACCTTTCTTTATTAAATATCATGTTCCTCGCACTTAAACCATAAGATCCAGTGCAACAGCAACAGCAATATCGCAAAATAGTTTAAAACGAGCATATCTTTAGAATTTTCCGATACAGAGACTCACGCGCGCTGGAGATAAAAATGTTTTTTCTGCACAACGTTGCCATTGCTCGCTTTGAAATCCTTGAGTTTGTTAATCAAAAATTCGTCAAAGTTTTAAAAAATAGGAAATCGATCACAAAACAAATTTCAAGTTTGGTTTTCCACATGCCTATATTCGTTGGAGGATTACGTTATTCAAAATTCGATGACTCTATGTACCGTTGTTTTATCACAATACGAGAAATATACATACATTTATGCAGATTTTCATTATTTAATTTCTTCAAATATAATGCAGGACTCTAACATTTTGTGGCAACAGTTTGAAAAGTGAACCGACATTTATGAGTCCGACGCAAAATGACAAAACGAAACTAATAGTCCTTCGGGATTCAAATCCCTTTGGACTAAAAAGAAGTTTTTGCAGTAAAATCCTAATGATATTGGAGGAAAATATACATTATTAACTCTTTGTAACAGTAATGTCTATGACAGCTTACAATACAAACAGGCATAACAACCAGACTGCCAAAGCCTGTTAGCTACTCTCTTCCTGCAGGATGCAAGCCTATTCAGGGTTAATACACCTAACTTCCAAAAGTTAAGCACAAATATGCAAAAATAAAAAAAAAAAAAAAAAAAAAAAATCAACAAATACTGTTTTGATTGACACAAAATTCGCCAGGAAAGTGGCATATATATTTATGCATAAAACAAAATCAATAATTATATACAGAAATAAAAACAATATTAAATTTTTGTAAGTTATCAGATAATGACATACTGGAGACAAACAGATTTATGTATAAAGTGAAAATAAACAGCATAAAATGGGGAGGGGGGGAAACACGCATTAATAGGTTATGTGATCTTTGCCTCATCTGTATACAAAGTTTACACCTTGTGACCATGCTTTCAATCAGGTGGTCAACCACCGCAGAATTAAGAAATTGCCATTCTTCTTGTAGAGCTGTTTCCAGCTCGATAAAGAGTGGCTGGAGGTGGGAAAAGTGAAGATAAGAGCCAAGAGCATTCCAAAGATTTTCAATGGGATTAAGGTCGAGCAAATATGCTAGCCACGCCATATGCGTAATCCCTTCACTCTCCAGGTAGTCATTGACGATGTCAGATCTATGGGGATGTGCATTATCGTCCATCCAACTACTGCAGTGTAGAATCTCACAACACTTCTATGACTTCATCTCGATACCGGACAGCCGTCAAAGAACCCCATTTAAAGATGTGCAGGTCGGCGCGGTATCCTAATGAAATCCCTGCCCAAACCATAATGCTTCCGCCTCGGAATGCGTGATGTTCGGTGAAGTTTTGGAACTGATTCAGTGTTCGTTGTTCACGCCATATCCTTATACACTTGTCATCTGGCTGCAGACCAAATCTTGACTCATCAATAAACATGACATTGCCCCAGTCAGATACATTCCAATTGACATGTTCCCATCACCACTGTAATCGTGTCCCTCTTGATTGGACGAATAGAGGAACACAAACTTGAGGTAACCGAGCATACATTCCACTCATATGTAATAGCTGCAGATATCGCCTTACCATAACTGTCACACATGTGAAGGTCGCTCTGCGATCCTGCTTGACTACAATAGCAATATATCGATCTTCCGCAGAGGTTGTAAACCCTTGGGCGACCGGCTACGGTCCTCTGGACAATTGTCTGTGTGGTTTGGAATTGTTTCCATAAACGTGAAAATTACAGAATGATGAACAACGAAGAAAAGAGCAACTCTGTGATCGATTGTCCTGTTGCAATGTGCCCCACAGCCCGCCAGCGCTCAGAATCCTCCATTCGTCTTCTGGAAGTCATAGAAACACGTATGTCTTGAAAACAAATTGTACAAAAGTTTTAAACACCTTCTAACAGCACTTACAATCAACTTCTGTAAAGCTGGCTTCTTCTAAGACTGCTGCTTTTGCATATTTCTTGACATGAAAGCACGATTGGCTGTTACCTAACATATTTGCATACTTCCATCTACCTCTGCAGCGAATTGCATCCCCTTCAATTCTGATTGGCTTCCGAATATTAGAAGTGAAGTGAGTGTATTTGCAATTCATCTAATAATCAGGTTCTGTTTGCATCTCTATTAGACAGCACTGCATCCACAGAAAGATCCTTTTGTGACTTTACTTCAAATCAGTTTGCAAGTGTGCATCATTTGCTTCATTATTTTTAGTGCTTGAGAGTTTCTTTTTGAAAGGTAGGAATGATATCATGTGAAACATATATGCTCTACATTTCTTAGTAATACTGATGGAAAGTGGAAAGAAACTGTAGCAATTTTATAAGAAATTTCGAGCAGTATGGTACTTTGACTGCAGAATGTGGTAAATGGTTTGGTATTTACAGGGTTGCCACTCAAACAGGAAAATGAAATTCCCTAACTTTTCCAGGTGTGATATAAGAAAATTCCAGTCTATCGGCGTAATGAACATTAGCTGTTACCACTTGAAAACACATAAATCTTGCCAATTGCGTACGACTTAGATATATAATATATAATTCCCAAAGCATTACTATTATAACTATAACAGGAGTTGTTTTCTCCACTAAAGATTGAGATTAGAATCTGCCCAATCTGGATTAAAAAATGTCTTTTTTCTTTTTTTTTTTTTGGCAGACATTTTGCAGCTAAATGAAAGAAAAATCTGTTTAATGATATTTTTAAATAAATTCAGGTAGTTTATATTTATTTAGCAGCATACATAAGCAAAACATATATGCCTTAAATTTCATTATGTATGTCATCATACTGCTAGAATTAGTTCCAGGATTATGCTAAAGAAAATTTTCTGAAATTTAAAAGTATTATTTACTAATAATAAATACATTTAGAGGAAAGAAGCAACATTAAATGATACAAATAACATTAAAATAAAGATAATTATTTTAAAATTGAATTAGAATAATCAATGATTTTTTGGAGAATATAGTTACATTAAATATTAAATGGTTAGCCAAAGTAACTGATTACTATTTTTTTATTTTACTGCAAAATGACAAATAACGCATTTATTTAAAAAAAGGGTTAAAAAGATTTTACGGTAAAATCCTAGTATATGCTATGGCCCGGGGACGATTTTGAAAACTGTCGCCAACACCAAAATGACACGTTTACTGCTTATTGTGAAGTCCCCAAATCTCATGTATACGGTACATGGAGGTTAGAATAGAATACATGGAGGCTATTCAAACCTCCATGGTACCCTTTACTAAGATTAAACCGATTTTATTTTATACGAGAATACATATTTTCCTTAGTTCAATATGCACTGGTATGCACATGCCAGTCTCTCGATACTCGAGGCTATTGGAAACCAAAGTTGCTGGAAACTTGCTTTGCCTTTCTAAAAGACAATCTGATTGGAGCTGCGAAATTTGGCTCTATGCCAGCTGACCAAATGTTGCTCACGCGATACATAATTCGTCAGGAAAGTGATCGCTTCCAACGTCAGCGCAAAACGCAGGGTGGGAGGGAAATCGCTGTATGAAATTCCCCGACTTTTCCAGATTTTGACTAAAATATTTAAATTCTCTTTACCTGAATTTTTTTGGTCAAATTTCAAATGCCCCGACTTTTCCAGGTAGCGTAGCAAACCTGTATTTAGCTCTCCAAGTGGCCAAGCCTTATATACGTTGAAAAATGTTAGTCTGGCTATTATTATTAAGTACACAGAGAGGCATCTTGAAATGCAAGATCCAAGGTACAAATTGAAAGGGTCATTTTATCATTATAATCATGAAAATACTGCTTACTCAAGGCCTTTTGGAGAACTTTGGGATTTTGTGAGCAAACACTTGGATGCTTGGAGGGTTAAAAAATTTAGTATATATATTGCTTTTAATCTTCTCAGCCAGGTTAAGCAATGTTTTAATTAAAAAGATGGATGAGAGATCTTACATAATCTTGAATGGCAATATTTACAAGAACTGACAATTTACCAGGTTGTGTGGCTGATAAATGCTTTCTTAGTTTAACGTAAAATGCTTATCAGATTCAACAACAAATTTCTGAAACTCTGTGATATTCTCAACATTTATAAGAATTGTACTTAAGCAGCTAGAATACAAATTGTAGTTTGTAGTTTAACTCAGTAGGCTAAAAAGAAATTATTGTTTGCATTACTTCCCAAATCTTATATCTTTCTTTATTGATTGCTTGAATCACATGCAGTACATCATTAGTAACAACATTTTGTTTTTCTAAAACATTGTATCAACTTTTTTAACTGATCATAATATAAAGAATGCCCAGCCTGACATGGCTTTATAATAGTAGGTTACAAAAAATATATTCCAATATAAAAAACGGGAAGAATGTACCTAAATAAATACAGCACATTTAAAGATCCAACTGTTGCTAAATTTCTTTTGCTTTTAAAAAGTATCAAAATATTATGTGATATTTATATATTATTTTCTGAATGGTTCATTATATTACATGGTTGATAAGCAACATTGTACTATGGTTTTGAAAGGTACATAAATATTTTATGCTGCTTGTAAGTGAAAAGGAATTGTGGAAAAGAAGTAAAACATGTAATATGATGAATATGATTAACACAATAATAATGTTGATATAGTAGCATAAAGTAAGTTATTGTATTATGAAAATGAAGAGATTAGGATAGACATTTTTAATATTAAGACTATTAGATTAATAAAAGACCTAAAATGTTTACATTTAGCTGATTTTGAGGGTTAATTAAAATATAAATAAAATTTTATAAAGTGCAAGATTTCGTGTTGCATAACTCTACCACTATAAAACTAAATACAGTGATATAAAAATTTTTCAGCTCAAAAACATTTTGAAGCAATAACTAACCTGTATGGCAGGCAAAAGGTTTCCATTATGTAACCAATGACTAGTGATGCACTAAAAAGTACAAAAAGTACATGCTAAGATTCATAGAAACTATTAGCAAATCATACTTATTAACATTATGAACTACAAATTAAATAAATTTTACATACTGTAATCAAGTGTCATTAAAAAAGTACTTTGAATTATAACATAGTTTAATATTTGTAAACATTCAGAGTTTAATTTGGATGTTTTACAAAACATAAATATGTACACAAAGATTATTTAATTACTTATTTAAATCAGATTTCAATTAATTACCTTAAAATGACACAACTAAAGAAGAACAGCAAAGGATTGTATACATATAATAAGCAGGTTTAAAATGTTAACAAAAAAGTTTTGTTCTTATTTCATCTATTAAATCTAATATTAGGCAAATATATGAATTAAAGTACTTCATTATCAGCCAAATTATTAACAGCAAATGAAAAAACTAAGGAAACTTTCAAGCAATTAAAAAATTTATTTAAAAATAATTGAAAAATCTACTTACTTTTATCGATAAACAACTTTTTAAAAACATGCACCTAAATGAAATTCCTAATACAGAATAAAAAGTAACTGGCTAACACATACCTTCTGGATACACCTGTATTACCATGCACAAGGACTTTCCCTATAATTAAAAACATAGCCATTCAACCACACTAAATCATGTTCAGAAAACTCAATTATCATTGCAAAAAGTGTATTCTTAATATTATTGAAAGTAATACTATCTCACACAAATTGTAACTAACATTTTTAGCATCTCTGACGAATAAATAACAAAAGCATATACAGAGTTCAACACAGTAGCTTCTTAATTCCATTAAAAAAAAAAAAAAAAAAAAAAAAAAAAAAAAAAAAAAAAAAAAAAGAAAGAAAGAAAGAAAGAAAGAAAAAGAAGACGTTTAAATAGAAATGTTTACTGAACAGTCAGCCAAAAAAAGCAGGAAGGCAGTTCTATATTTCCCATTCTATTCGGCTGACTGACGAAATTCAACTTGCATTTTCATGACTCAAAAATACAGCTTGGGTTATATATTAGATTTAACATACAGTGTTTTCTAACATACATATTTTTACATAAAACTGGACGTTTTCTGAAAAGACATGCCAATAATTTCTATATTTCAATTTTACTACTCATATTCAACACAAGAACCCAGTTTTGTACAAACTGTAGCAGCATATTTTTTTTAAAATGTAATAAGCACTCAAAATTTTAACTCGGCAATTTTAATATAATTTGGCATATATAATAATAACCTTTTTTAACCCCTTAACTGCCGCGGGCGTATATATACGCCTTGCTCAGCCGATGCGTTAACTGCCCCAGGCGTATATATACGTCCTTCCAAACTGCTATCATTTGCTTTGCGCTGCTACACCTAAAATTATTCGCAAAGTTAACGCATCGGCTGCACATCTGGGCAGTTAGTTAACGCATCGGCTGAGCAAGGCGTATATATACGCCCGCGGCAGTTAAGGGGTTAAATAAAGATTTCATCTTTCATAATTAAAAAATTCACTTTTATCCAATTTATATATTTTTAAATTTACTTTCAAAATTAGCATTTTTAAACAATTTTTTACAAATTTTCAAAAAAAAAAAAAAAAAAAAACTGTGGATTAAAACGTATAAAATGTCTATTATTGTATTAAAATAGATGTATTCTTACAGTTTTTTATCATAAGTTCTGAATATTTTGATGAATTTAAATATTGGCATATCTTGAAATTTGCATATTTGTTATACGCAATAATAATCCCAAATGTGGTTTACACACTTTATCACAGTCTTCAATGAACTGCAACAGTTATTTTTAACAGTAAATTTCAAAGTAAACTTCAACGGAGGATTACTCGCATGGAATTTCAGTGCTTTTCCATTATGCACCTACCTGTGAAAGAGAAGCCAAACAAACACTGAGACCCAATCATAGCATCTTTTGGGGACTGTGTGTGTGGGTATTAACAAGAATAATTAAAAACACACATATTACTACAACAGTATCATGAAAACGCATGGTAGGTGCATAACAAAAAATTCCATGAATTTCTTTATTCTAAAGTTTACTAATAGTAATATGGATATAAATATTTATTAATAATATATAAAAAATTATTAAATTTATAAAAAATAATAAGTTTTTCTCTTTTTTTACATTCCCTATTTATCTACTATTTTATTTCATTTTACTTTATGCAACAAAATTTATCTGCAGATTTGAAAAGGATGTCTCGTATGTATTCAATACAAATGACTATTTCAAATAATATATAGTACAAAGTCCGAGATCCGGAAGGACTAATAATAATTGGCTATTATTATTTGGCTTAATAATTATTTGGAGTAATAATAATTGGCTTTGTCCCTGAAGGGTTACTGTTTTCGTCTTGCTATTTTGCATTGAAAACTTTAAAAGGCCATATCACTTTTCAAATCGTTGCCACCTAATACTACTGCTATGTATTATATTTGAAGAAATTAAATAATGAAGAATCTATAAATGTGTGTTATGTTTTCTCGCATTGTGATAAAACAACGGTACCCAGAGCCATCCAATTTTGAATGACGTAATTCTTCTGAGAATATGCCCAAATTTAAAATTTGTTTTATTATCAATTTCATATTTTTTAAAACTCTAACGAATTCTTGATTAACAAACTCTATGAGTTAAAAGTGAGCAATGGCAACACTCAATGGGAGGGGGGGACCTTTTTATAATCCGCTCGTGGAACTGTGTATCGGAAAATCTAAAGATATGCTCACTTTAAAATTATTTTGCGACATTGCTGTTGAACTGAATTTTATGGTTTAAGTGCAAAGAACATTATATTAAATAAATAAAGGTAACACATAAAACTTTAAACACAAAAACGCCCCTTTGGACGTAATTTAAAATCTGAAACCTTTCAGAATTTTTTTTTTTTTTTTAGCAAAAATTTGTGTGATAAATAATTTGGCTCCGTAGCTGCGTATCTGCTTGGCATACATCTCAAACCAAAACATTCTACGTAGAAATATCGTTAATCTTGCATTACTAATATTTTATACTCCTGATGCCAATTTGGGGAATCATTGTTTATTAATTTTTGCTTCAATCACTGCATGTTTATCAGCATATGACAACTTGAGTAGTGACTAATGCAGCGATGCCTAAACATTTTTTTAATATTAGTACTTGAATAACAAAGAGTATGGTAACCTTTTATGTTGACGTTACGCTTGGCGATGATTAAAGTTAAATGCTCTACGAAATGTTGACACGAAAAATTTAAAAAAAATTTCTTTCCATATGCTAAAAATAGGTTTTATTCACGATACTCATAAACCAAAAGATTACATTTAGTGCTATTTGTAATAAGAATAACTGATTTGTTTTCACATAAACCCAGAACCGGCGCCAGAGATTGAATTGCCGAATTTGGGGAAGACAAATTTTTGGAATTTAGAGAAGCACCAAGCAGCAAAATTAAGGGATAACAAAATTTTTAGAATTTAGGGAAAGCATTGGAATCCAAAATTTAAAACTTAGGCAGTTGGTAGCAGGATCTAGGACCCACAGAGACTGCATCAGGGGATAAAATATCTAGTGTCGGTCCTCAATAAGCCTTAAGTATATGTGAAAATTTATTTATTCAGGACTCAGATAAGCCTTAAGTATGTGCAAGAAATAGACGCAAGTATAATAAAGAACTAAACAAATATAATTCAAGCTTAATTGTCTCAGTGCGTGATAGAAGCAAGACAAAATTTGGCAGAACAACTTGTCTTCCATCACCAGTCTTATGATACATAGCCAATAATGTATAGCGGACGCTATTAAGCTAAGCTAAGAGTGAGTGAGTGAGAGATTATGGCGCAAAACCAAAGATGATTATAGTGCGCCAAACACGAGATGGGGTGAGTACAATTGATGAAATTAAAATACAATAAATAAAAACAAGTAGACAAATGTATCAAATCCAGAGGATGAAGTCATATAAAAACAAGTTAAAACCACACATTTAAAATTCAAGACAATCTTCAAAACAAATTACATTAGGTGATAAAAGCCAGTCTCTTTTAAATGATAAAATAAATTACAATTGACCTCTCTTACGATTAAACGGTCGAGATGTAAGTCACAGCCATTAAAACATTTCTAACGAAGATTATTAAAATATGGACTCAATTAAAATATGACAGACAGATAGACAAACATTACAATTTGAACAAACAGGCTCATTCTCAGCTTTTAAAAGGTAGCTATGTGTCACTCTAGTGTGACCAATTCTGAGGCGAGTCAAAAGAACTTCCTCCTTACGATTTTTGGTAGATTCCCAATGCTCAATTCTAGGTTTTACTTGTCTTAACTTGTTTTGAAGCTGAACCTCCCAAATTTGCTGCCATTTTTTCGGACCTTTCCCTTGATGACACAGCAGATATCTCTAAAAGGGATAAGGCAACTAGACAGTTCAACAGTAGATTTGGCTGCAATATCTGCAAGCTCATTTCCCTTTATTCCAGCATGTCCAGGAACCCAGCAGTACAGGACTTCATATCCTCGAATCGTTAAGTTTATATGAGTTTTGAGAACATCCACTACCACAGGATTCTGAGTGTTGAGAAAAGCTTCCAAAGATTTAAGAGCACTATACGAGTCTGTATAAACTATGAACTTTTTGTGGCAGAGCTTCGAGATGTACAAAAGACCATAATATATTGCAATTAATTCAGATGTTAGGACTGAGAAAGCATGGTGCAGGCATCTGCCCTCAATGTAATCTTCAAATACAAAAGCCATCCCGACATGATCATATGACTTAGATCCATCAGTGTATATCGGATAATAACTATATATGTGCCTGTGCTCAGCGAAGAGTTGTCTGTAAACGATCTCGTTAGTGCTCGCCTTCACCTGATGTTTGAAAACATCAAGAAGCTGAATCCGTGAATTTTCCCAAGGTGGAATTTCAAAATTCTGTACTGCTTGGGGGCGCATATCAGAGAGGGAATGTTCCTCAATGACAGGGCGAACTCTTAAAGGAAAGGTAGGAACGCAGGGTAGACGCGTTTCAAATAAAACGTTACACACATCATCGAGTAAGCACAGCTTATTGGGATAGAACATTAAAATATTGCAAGAGGAACAATTGCTCACGCCTCAGATAAAGTGATGGTTCGTTACAGTCAACGTACAGGCTCTGGACGGGAGAGGTCCTGAAAGCTCCTGAACAAATATGCAGAGCTTGATGGTGAACAGGATCCAGTTTTAACAATACTGATGGCCGAGCAGATCCATAAACAACTGAGCCATAATCCAGTTTAGAGCGGACGAGCGCTCTGTAAATGCGAAGCATGGAGCAACGCTCTGCACCCCAGGAGGTGTTCGCCAACACTTTAAAAATATTTAGTGTTTTTAGACACTTCTTTCTCAGGTTTAAAACATGAGAAAGGAAGGTCAATTTTCGGTTGAACATCACTCCTAAAAATTTTACTTCGGGCGTAACCGGAATAATTGTACCATTCAGATATAACTCAGGCTCAGGATGGAGACCTCGCTTCCTACAAAAGTGAACACACACAGTTTTCTGTTTGGAAAAAGTAAATCCCTGTTTGTTTGACCATTCTTGGATCTTATTCAG